CTCATTAACGGTTGTATGGCTGAAACATTGCATGTGGTATTATTATGACTCGATTTCCAAAGTGAAATCGTAGACTGCTGCCTGAAAGTTCATTCCCCTTACACGCGTGGGCAGCACCTGACGCAATCCGTGTGCGTCACGCATGTGGAACCGGTGAGCCACGCGTGTGAGACCCGTGTGTGACGCGTTGCACACGGGTGTGAGTCTCGTTGGTCATTTGTGTGCAACCCATGACACGCATTTTGAAGGGAACAAACTTTTGATCAAAGGAGGACCCATGAACAAACTTTTGATCAAAGGAGGACCCATGTTAATCTAAAATTAGAGGTCGTTACAGAGAGATCAGTTTTAAATTATCTGATGACGTCTTTTTCGAGGTTATCTTGCAGGAACATGAGTTGAACACAAATCTATAGGCAACAACAATTATTTTGAAACCAACAAATGACAAGGAAATTGAATCCAAATTACAATTGTATTTGACGTTAACTAGATTTAGAGATCGATAAATATTACTGTAAATTGTACAATGGCAACAGACAATAAACTGGTTGTACACAATTCAGGAGTTGCATTGATTATAATGTTCACCATGCAGCAGACCCGTGAAGATGCGGGTTAGAATTGATCTTCAGTAAACCATGCTTGTCGTAAGAGGCGACTATCGGGATCGGGTGGTCAAGCTCGCTGACTTAGTTTACACATGTCGTATCCCAACTGCGCAGAATGATGCTCATGCTGTTCATCACTGGATTGTCAAGTCCAGATTCAATTATTTACAGACCACCGTCATATAGCATGAATATTGCTTAGTGCGGCGTAAAACTAAACTCACTCACTCTAACGTACAATATACTACACTTATGACGAACGCGCTTAAAACGAACTAACGGATATAACGAACTAACGGATATAACGAATTGCTGTTTTTATGTCCCAACCACTTGTATATTTAGTCAAAATATATATAACGAACTACTGTTATAACGAACTCAAGTTAAAGATCCCTATTAGTTCGGTATAGCCGTAGTTTACTGAGAATGTTGTATATCTGCAATGAAAGCAGGGTCAGTGGTAAGATTCCAACTGTCTTATAAACTCGTGTTTATGAATCCCTATCAAGTACTGATGATACCAGGTGTTCGCGTAGAGGTGAGCGCATCCTGCCCCACCGACGGCATCCGTCAGAAAACAAGATTAAAGTGTTTAACTGAAAACAAACACGAGAATATATGGTACAAATCAGTATGGAAATAGCTTTTCACATTGATCACTCACTCAATTCACTCACTCACCCACCCATCAAAACGCACTCACTCACTCACCCAATCACGAGTCACTCACCCACTCTACCCCTCACCACCCACCCACTTAATCTTGCTGTAACCTTCACCAAACAACTTCTGAGGAAGAGGCGTGCGTTGGTCTTTAAAATTCTGGTTAATTTTCTTTAAGATCATGCTCGATTCTTCCTCAAAATGTGTGACATGTAGACTCAAGTATACAACGTTCAAGCTTCTAGAATATTGCTCGAGTTCTCTTTGGTTGGCATTTTAAAAGTTGATTAGCATTATTAAGTCAATATACTTAATGGATGGGAACGTCTTTATTCCATTGTGATGAGACGATTCCGTACAGATTCTTACACCGTTGTGAAGAAAGAAACACTCTCTAGCGAACACGGCAGTATAATGTAATACACTTTGTCATCCATCAAGTACTAGCCTTTGATAATATTGGAAAGTTGAAGCCATCACAGTTTCGTGCATATACTATACAGCGTAAGCATCGCTACTAACGGCTATGGGTACAATGTGTGAAGCCCATTTCTGATGTCCCCCGTCGTGTTATTGCTGGAATATTGCTAAAAGCGGAGTAAAACCAAACTTTCTCACTCATTAACGGTTGTATGGCTGAAACATTGCATGTACGTGGTATTATTATGAATCGATTTCCAAACTGAAATCGTAGACTGCTGCCTGAAAGTTCATTCCCCTTACACGCGTGGGCAACACCTGACGCAATCCGTGTGCGTCACGCATGTGGAACCGGTGAGCCACGCGTGTGAGACACGGGTGTCTCGTTGGTCATTTGTGTGCAACCCATAACACGCATTTTGAAGGGAACAAACTTTTGATCAAAGGAGGACCCATGTTAATCTAAAATTAGAGGTCGTAACAGAGAGATCAGTTTTAAATTATCTGATGAAGTCTTTTTCGGGGTGATCTTGCAGGAACATAAGTTGAACACAAATCTATAGGCAACAACAATTATTTTGAAACCAACAAATAACAAGGAAATTGAATCCAAATTACAATTGTATTTGACGTTAACTAGATTTAGAGATCGATAAATATTACAGTAAATTGTACAATGGCACATACAATAAAGTGGTTGTACACAATTCAGGAATGGCATTGATTATAATGTTCACCATGCAGCAGACCCGTGAAGATGCGGGTTAGAATTGATCTTCAGTAAACCATGCTTGTCGTAAGAGGCGACTATCGGGATCGGGTGGTCAAGCTCGCTGACTTAGTTTACACATGTCGTATCCCAACTGCGCAGAATGATGCTCATGCTGTTCATCACTGGATTGTCAAGTCCAGATTCAATTATTTACAGACCACCGTCATATAGCATGAATATTGCTTAGTGCGGCGTAAAACTAAACTCACTCACTCTAACGTACAATATACTACACTTATGACGAACGCGCTTAAACCAAACTAACGGATATAACGAACTAACGAACTAGGCGACTATCGGGATCGGGTGGTCAAGCTCGCTGACTTGGTTGACACATGTCATCGTATGTCAATTGCGTACATCGATGGTCATGTTGTTGATCACTGGATTGTTTGGTCCAGACTCGATTATTTGCAGACCGCCGCCATATAGGTGGAATATTGCTGAGTGCGGCGTAAAACTAAACTCACTCACCTACACACCATGCATCAACTTTAAAAGACCAAAATAGGCTTAGGGTGGATATCCAGGGTGAAAATATGATCTTCACTTGACTTGGACGGTGAATACAGAGGCATGTGCTTACCCACTCACATGGTCTTAATTTATCTTATAATGTTCCCTACCATGCTAGATAACTTTATAGCTAACTCAACACACTGGGGCAAATTCCCAAAGCATCAAAATATAATAACTTCTACACCACTACTTAAATAAGATCGTCATGATACATTCCTGTCAACATATTACACTGAAAACAAGTTCTTGAACAGCCACTGAATCTTAATGAAAATACAATTTTGACAGCATTGGTTAATAATAGAATTACTTCCACATAAGAATGTGAATCTCACCAATCCCAGCGTCTAACGGGATCAGGTGGTCAGGCTCGATGGTTGATACATAGATGCTTATAATGTCTGACCAAGACCCGATCATTTACAATCCACCAACACTGAGCATGGCTGGAGGAGTGAGACGTTAATCAACAAAGTCTGTTTCTCTGTTCTTTCTCAGTGTGGCGTAGTCTACAGGTTGAAGTGTTCGCCGAAGACCCGGGTCGATTTCCATATGGGTACAATGTGTGAAGCCCATTTCTGGTGTTCCGATATTGCTGGAATATTGCTAAAAGTGGCATGAAACTAAACTCACTCACTCACTCAGTGTCAATATCACGGGGTCTGACGCACGATTTTATACGGCACTCCAGTCATCGGGCCTGACACAAGCTCCACGACGTGGTCGACAAGAATTGGATGCTGCCGACTAAGTGTAGGCTGTTTCTATCATGGCGACAGTCACCATCCATATTTCTTCATCGATCTGTTTTGCGTACCGACCCGCCGTACCCCTCTCTAGATATATTGACATTTAGGAGAATTTATTGTGGGAAAATGTCTTATAATCCATAGCCATACGTACATATATACGGGATAACATCAATATAAACAAGGATCAGCCAACGACAAAGGTTATGCTTGGGTGAATCTGCATGTTTCACCATTATACCAACCTTGCTTTACTGCAAACATGTGAAGGTTATTTCGGCATTTGACACATCAGGGACAAAACGATGTTCGATGCAATTCCCAATATTTGACATGCACTATATATTTCCTTGTGAACAACAGAGTGAATGAGTATGGTTTTACGCCGTTTTAGCAATATCACGGCGGGACACACCCGAAATGGGCCTCACACATTGTATCCATGTGGGAATCGAACCCGTGTCTTCAGCGTGACGAGCGGACGCTTTAACCATTAGGCTACCCCACCGCCCCCTGAACAACAGACTAGATTTTGACGAGGCAAAGCTTTCAGGTTAACAGTAGACATATCAAGTGATGCCAATTCTTATTTTAGTTTCTGACGTGTGTTTCCATGTTATTTCATGTGAACAATTTACTCGCCTTTGCATGCGTTTGTGACGGTTGACCCGGTGAGACAGGTTACGCTCACCATTTTTACGAACACCTGGTATTCTGTTATTGGTTGATATTCATACATGCACGCGTAAGATAACGTCGGACTCTCTTATTATCGGATATTTGTTATGTGATGGAAATTGTTCTGTCGCCTTTGGATGGGAGTTTGAGATTATTTGCCCTATCTATCGACCGTAGTTTTTTTCAAGTCCAATCTGAAGCCTTCACACCATGAGTATATACTGTCCAAACACCATTCACAGAGGAAGTATGTACATTGTCCAAGCTGGGTATCCATTTAATTCCGTTTAGGTTGCAAACAATCCTCATCTTCTTCCATGAAATGCTTCATCGAAAGCCGACACCTGTGTCTGAGATGTGGCTTTACGAACACGATGCAGTCAACCCATTCAACAGTTTCGCGTTATGAATACTATAACAATGGTCGCCCCACACACAAAAACCAAACCAATTTGCTTTTTCAGACTAACACAGCATGCTGACAGAAAGCAAGTCCTCGGGCATAACGGTATGCTCTCTGGAGACAACTCACGATCGATCAAGCAGCATTAGAATGTATGTTCGTAGTTCTTAATCGATTAAAGTCTGTCTCTAAAGGAACCGGGTAGATCCTGAAAACATCAGCGTCAGGCACTAGTTTGTGTCTTGGATTCTGAATGGAAGCTGATGAATCTTAAAGGAAAGATATTTTACAGCGGATGTTGTGTGTAGGGTCTAACAGAAGCTGGCGAAGACCTTCAGAGCAGCTGTACCCAGCAAGAACAGAGACCCCAAGGTTCAAAGACCATTGTGACATCTTCCACGCCTGACTAGTTGAATACTTAAGTGAGCTACAAGTCTTCTAGTGCATTGCCTTTTTTAAACATAAATGGTATTTGCTGCTGTCTGTCTAGATGAAGATGTGACGATTTCGATGAACGAAGATGGATTTTCAAACCCAGTTTGTATGATGTGTATCTTAAACAGGAAACACATAAACACTTTGACACACCGAAACTGAAGTATTGGGCTAAACACAACGAGATGAAGTTGGAATTGGTACTGATGCTTCAAGTCAGCCTCTTTGTAGGAGGGGCGAAGGGTGAGTATCATTAACACTGCGTCAAGTCAGACGCTGACATGACTTAGCTGTCAGAAAGGTCAGGTAATCATACCGACAGACAATTATTGACTTGTTGGTTCACATTAAACAATATCATTTTGACATTTTGTTTATAAACAACCTGCAGTATTTAGTGTGATTAACGGGATTAATAGGAATGCCAAAATAGGATGTAGATAATTACAATGTAAGAACGTAGGCTAATATAATTTCCTTTGAGAAAACTCAGGGATACAAAAATAGACCTTCATGAAATCTTCATTGATTGGGTTTTTAGCGTAGCCATTCCACCCGAAAATACACTTTGACTGGATACCCAAGGTAGTGATATGTTCTTCACCGACGGATTTGATGTCGGTGGGTATAGAATAACGTAAATATAAATGACAGCTGTAAAGGTATATCTGCCACGACTCCACAATGGAGATGGCGTAAATATGGGGCAAGCGATTCGTTTTTGTAATTTTAATCATTCTGCATAGTATGTACAAACAGCCTTCCTAGACCTGTTGTTGAACGGGAAGCCCAGACGTTTAAAAGGCGACACAATTGGATATTGCAGAGTTACGTCCCCTGAGCACTCCAGAACCCTATGATCGTCGGTTCGAATCCCGGTTTGCCAAGATTATGTCACTCAGCCTTTCTGAATCTAAACAAAGTCTGATACCTTCATCAGTGGGAGCTTTCACATTGTACACTGCTCAAAGCGGCATTACTCAGTCGTAAAACATTTTATCCTATTACAACGAAAACGAGATTTTGACTTAATTTATCACGTCCAGTGATGATAATGATGACGTATATGCCGTTCTAAACAGTTGGTGACGTCATCAATTTTTGAATCATTGGACTGACATGACGTCAGAGCTGTAAGGACCCGTGAAGGTCCGGGTTAGAATATTGATCTTCAGTAACCCATGTTTGTCGTAAGGGGCGACTAAAGGGATCGGGTGGTCAGGCTCACTGACTTGGTTGACACATGTCATCGGTTCCCAATTGCGCAGATCGATGTTCATGCTGTTGATCACTGGATTGTCTGGTCCACACTCGATTATTTACAGACCGCCGCCATATAACTGGAATATTGCTGAGTGCGTCGTAAAACTAAACTCACTCACTCACTCAGAGCTGTAAGATCCGCTTCGCATTCAAAGAAAACAATGGCTAAAGTAGGTATGTCCTCGCAAATCGTATGAAGTAATTTTTCACCTGAGACATTTTTCTCTTCATCCTTTCCTTACGTGTAACATGTTTTGTTACTTCTGTCCCGGGAAGTAAATTCTATATTGCTGGCAGTAAAATCCTGGTGCGTGTTATAAATAAATCCATACGAGTTTATGAATTCCATAGACATATCTTCGGTGACATATTTACGAGGGACAAATAGACATTTCTTGCTACAAGTGGCACTGGTAGGTTACAGATGTGAGAGCAAACCCTTTCCGCTCGCACAGACCAGTAAACCCTACTTACGACAATGTAACTCGGGGATAGCTGAAAGTCTCGGCCAAATAAGATTTGCTGCATTGATGGAACGTGTTGTCAATATTTTTCTAACTAACGAGACTGGTGTGTCCTGATCCCAGTGGTTTGAAGGAGTCCTCTCGGTTCTTCAAAAGTTATTTCAGGAAAACTGGCGTCTGCGTCATGTTTGCTAGGCAGTTCTGTGCTCAAGTTTTTGAAGAGGTGGGCATCCGATGGTGCTTAAACTGCTGTATACGGGGGTGTATTCTGTGTTCATAGCCTCAGTCACTCATTGCAGTAATGACGACAACGGATTTGTGAACATGTGCATTGCCCAGGAGAAATTTAGTGGGTTTTCCAGGAAGTGTTCTGTCGATATTCTCAGACAGTATCTATTGGGTTGATTGGCATGACATTTCTGGATGTGGCATGACATTTTATGGAGGTGGTGTGATATTTCTGGAGGTGGAGTGACGTTTCTGGAGGTTATGTGACATTTGTGGAAGTGGTGTGACATTTCAGGAGGTGGTGTGACATTTCTGAAGGTGGTGTGACAATTCTGGAGGTGGTCTGGCATTTCTGGAAGTGGTCTAACCTTCCTGGAGATGCTGTGATTTTTCTGGAAGTGGTCTGGCATTTCTGGAGATCTGTGAGATTTCTGGAGGTGGTCTTACATTTCTGGAGGTGCTGTGACAATTCTGGAGGTGGTCTGGCATTTCTGGAGATGCTGTGACATTTCTGGAGGTGGTCTGACATTTCTGGAAGTTGTCTGGCATTTCTGGAGATCTGTGAGATTTCTGGAAGTGGTCTAACCTTCCCGGAGATGCTGTGATATTTCTGGAAGTGGTCTGGCATTTCTGGAGATCTGTGACATTTCTGGAGGTGGTCTGACATTTCTGTAAGTGGTCTAAACTTACTGGATGTGCTCTGACATTTCGCATTAGTCAGCTGCTTGGAATCTTTTGGAGTCCCAGAAAAACCAAAGTCATGACCCTGAAAGCTGATGGGACAGACTTTACCTTCTTTGGAGGAGGATACGTCAGATGTTCCCACTGCTGCGTCTGTTACTTAGTCTCTGGCTGATAGTGCTCAACCCAAGGCTCGTCCATAGTTGCAAACCCATCAGTAGATCTCCTTCAAAACGACATATATTCTCAAGCGACGATGAAAGTAAGAGAAGTAACTGAGATACCCGCGCAACCCGTGCCTCAAGAAAATATCAAATTGTCTGTTCGTTTGTTGATTAAGCAATATTCCAGCTATACAAACCAGTGATTGACAGCATGAGCATCGGGATACGATGACATGTGCCATCCACGTCAGCGAACCCGACCACCCGATCCCATTAGTCGCCTCTTACGACAAGCATAGCTTGCTGAAGATCATCAAATATATAATGAAATAAATGTGATCAGGTGGTGTTTATATGTCTGGGAAACGTGAAATTTTCTAATCCGGATTCCGCTAAAATGATATTCATGTCAGTAGAATTTCTGCCAGCAAATGAAAATTGGTGGTCGTGGGGGATGATTCCATGCCATTGTCTACTGCTGAAGTAAAGAAAACTGACAAATAAACAAACAAACAAACGGAATAGAGACACTAATCATAGTGATCCTACCCAAATGCTTGTCATATCATTGTCAGAACCTCCTCATGTTCTTGTACATTGCTTTCATGTCCCTTCCCAAAAAGACAAATCTAAATTCGTTTTCTGTTTTATCATAAAAAGACTAATTTCCAGTCGCCTCCACAAATATGCGTATCCTTTTTATTGCCACCCTGCTACACACACCCTCGCCCCGGAGACGCTCACATTTGGTGGTGACCCTCCCCCGAACCACCCTGACCCTCCCAAACATATCTATATTCTAGGTTGTGTGCATGCGTTTGAGTCTCTCGACGTTATAGAATTTCCACTGGTATGTTGAACACTCAAAGAACACATATGTCGCCTTAGAGGCAGCGAACCTAAGCATACCCGTCAATAACTTGCCGCCATTTTGATTTGAAAATGGCAATGCTGTTATCGTGAGAGAATCTCAGCGACTGCAGGGACTGTACGACAATGTCGGACTTATTGCTGAACGCTTGCGTTGTCAACGGGAAATGTCAAAGTGTGTTTCTTTAACCCAAAGTGGACTATATGTAAGGTTTTCAACTAATTACTTCTTTAGTAACGACAAACGTTCCGTTCTGTCCATTCTGAGGAAAAGTTGTTATTGTAAATGATTAATGGCAAGAATATTTATACAAGACACGTTTTGAGTTACCTTTGGGAAAAACAGATTCAGTTTTACAGAATCATCGCTGACACGACATATGTTTCCTCGTCCACTTTATTTGCTCTTTCATATGTAAGACGGTTAAATCTTGATTATTGATTTGGAATTATTGTTCTTAGATTCGCTGTAAAGTACTATCGATTTATTTTCCTTTGTTGAGTAAAATCGCAGGCAACAAATATTCCAGCCACGTCGCGGCGATGTGTGCATAAGCGATTCCTCGCCACACGTACCAGTGGTCGACAGTATGAGCAACATCGCACGCCAGGATACGATTGTCGTTAGTTTGTGGAATTCCAGAAACCCGCCAATAATGATTAGCGCTTGCTCGTGGTTTTGCCCAAGGTTGGAAGGCTTCACATTCGGGACCAGCAGTTTGAGGCTTCCACTGCCATTGGGCTAACATCATGTATAATCTGAATGTAAAATAACGCCAATACCAGACAATAACCAGTCTCGATTATCCTAAGATTTCACGTGAAAGGCGTAAAATGCAAAATGAACATTATATGAATTGGCCATGGAAAAGTTGAAAGGGTAGGTATGTCATTCTTTCCTTGAAGCAATCGTCACTTACAAAATTTGTTTAAAAAAAGTAAAACATATTGTATATATAATTTTTAAATAATACTGCTCAAATCTAACTCATTCATGCATCAATACTGGTCACAGACCCGTTAAGATCCTGGGCCTAGATTTTCGAAGCTCTCTTAGCGTTAAGATAGTCGTAAGTACCATACATTACCATTAACTTACGACTATCTTAGCGCTAAGAGAGCTTCGAAAATCTAGGCCCAGGTTAGAACTTCTTAAGCCCATTCTTAACACATTGGCTACGATCAAAGTTAAGAATTCTTAGAGCTACGAACGTTTCGAGAATAAGGGCCCTGGTTTGTACATGTCATGGGTCCGACCAATGTGTGTGTCCCCAAAAACATACAAACCGTTCGTGATAGGTTTGTTTCTGATGGGCCGTTGCATCGGACAATTTTTGTAAGCCATCCTGAACGAAGCCTGCAGCTCTATCAACCAATTATTGTTTGTCTATGTTCATGACGTAATTCATGTCAGGTGACCTCGCGCATATATTTGTTGACACAAGGTCAAGGTCACAACCCTAGCAGGGGTTAGGCCAGTTGGTCCGGGGCACCATCACCACCCCCACGTGAACTGTGTGCTGACATGACGCAAAAAGATTCTTGTATATACACTATAGTCCGTTTGGCTCAA